AAGGACTCTGTTAGCTTTCAAAAGACAGATAGATCCAGTCTTTATGAAGACCCAATATATAGGAAAAAAAGGTGAAGATTCAAACGCCTTACCAAAAAAATATTTATATTATTAAAATGGGCTAAAAATCAAATTAGAATTAAAATTAAAATCCATCTTCTAGCTATGTCAAGGGCCTCATGCTTATAATTTTTTTCATTATTAGCTCTTTATGTCCTGCGTTCACGGTGTCAGTAGTCACGAAGGCCACATTGGGGAAGCACTGACTTGAGTGCCCAGGAGTGGGTGAGGGGGTGAGATGTGGCGGACAGACACAGTGGAACACAGCCAGCTGGAAATGATGATGCCCTGCCCAGGTGACAACACAGGTGGAGCTTACAGGGATAATGCCAAGAGAAAAAAGCTGGTGAGAGAAAGACAAGGGCCATTCATAGGTGGGATTTAATGGAAAAAGGTGAAGGCAGAAATGAGTAAGCTAGGCCCCGAGTTCTGACCAGAGAACTGAGGTGCCCAGATAGGGACTGGGGGTGGAGAGCCTTGGGAGTCTCTCGAGGGGTCAGCAGGGCCTTGGGCTGGGCATGCAGGGCTGGCACACAGCTGAAATCTGAGTCCGTGCCCACTCGCTCCTCTTAGGGAGGGTTTGCTCCTCACCGTGTGCCAGGCAGGACATGCAGCATGCAGGAGTGCCAACTCCCCAGGGACGGTTCCTCTCTTGGCTCCTCCACAAAGAAAAACACTGGAACCTTCTCAGGGATGCTCGCGCCAATGTTCACAGACAGGAGAGAGGACAGCGCAGACACTGGTGGACATAGGAACCAGGGCCAAGGGGCCCCACAACAGTCCGGACCTGAAGCATTTCTAGTGACTAAGATGGTGCATCAGGGTGCATGGATGAAAGTGACATGTGTGTCATCCTCAGCCCTCCTCTGGAGTCTCAAGTGATGCTAATTATCCTTCAAAGGCCACACTTCCAATACCACCTCCAAGGGGCTAGGGTTTCAAAGGTGAATTTTGGAAGTATACAAACATAACACTTGGTATTATAAAGATAATAAAAAAAACCTCTTAGCTACCATCTTTCATGAGAAAATGAAAGACCAATAGGGATAAAAACAATAACCCCCAAATATTTTGTTTGATAAATTCAGTAAGACACTTCATCCATTTTTAGTTCTGCTTGACAATTCAAATTATTTTAACCTTGTCTTCAGAATTTGCCACAGCACTGAATGTTTTCTAAATAAAGGAAGAAAAATCATTCAAGTATGCCACAGAAAATAATTTTAAAATATGCGTTTTAGGTTTTGTTTCCATGTTAGTCACAGACACTGCACAAGCAAATAGCTCTTTGAAAAACACTGCTGTTTTCCTAAGTTGCACATTGTAACTTAGAGTTTTCAGACAAAAAAACTGACCCCTTACAACAGATAATGAGCATCTTCAGGAATAAGGTTCCCTGAGGAACTGGTCAAGAGGAAATGATGCACTTCAAGCAACTATCTTGCCCCTAATTTTACCTCTTCCTTCACAGTCTTTCTCTAGCTCCTGTGTAACTCTAGTAGCCTGAAATAACAAACCCAAGCTAAAATACATTTTACCTATGTCTATTAATCAGCAGGTACACAATGTTTATGTACAAATATAAGCAAGCACATACGTGTAAAACACCCACACATGCCCAGATACTACTATGTAAGAGAAGGGCGCAAACATTTGCTACCATGGACCAGGTGTTCAAACACTTTTTATGCTTATGAAAGTCCGCAACACATAACAACGAAGTAGATAAAATTAGTTGTTCATCTTTTTACGGGTGGCAAGAGGGAAGCAGAGAGGTTAAATCAGTGTATGGAGATGGAAAAGTCAGAAACGCAGAGTAAACTTCTGACAGAGAGTGAGCTTGCGCTCCAGCTCAGTGTGGCAAAAGGAACACTCGGAAGGACTCATTCTTGCTCTGATTTCTCGCTTATCTCCAGCCCAAATGCTTGCCAATGGCAAAAATATAAATGAGGCAAACCCTTGTTCAAAAAATTTTTAGCGCATTTTGAAACTGACAGTATAATCCCCCAAGTAGAAAAGATAATGAAAGAGCATGTTTATCTGTGACTTTCATCTTACCTTCTAAAGCATATCAATTAGTTTTTTTTCCACTCTTGAAAAAAACTGTGCTAAAAATATACACTAATTTCCATAACATTCTGTGGGTTTTTATGGGCGTCATGCCGTGTCACTGAGAGAGCCAAGCGTGTTGAATGCAGCAGTGAATGAGTGATTTCCACCACAGAAGTCACTTTCTGAACTTTTGAGACTCAACTATTACTTCATTCCCCACCCCATTCGCCCAAAAGTAAATGACACTCATGGTGATGGAAACTAACTCAAAAACTATTATAAATATTTCATACTTTCTATTTCAAAATTGCGTGTACTAGTCTTCAAAATGATGTCAATCTTGAGTGAGGCTGGAGCACTAGTAATGGGCTGGATGCTAACCTTGCATGTGGCCGACCCAGGTTCCATCCTTGGAACCCTGAGCCCAGCCAGGGTTCTCTGAGCACCGAGGCAGGAGTAAGCCTTTTTGGGGGTGTCCCAAAGTTGTTGTTGTTGTTGTTGTTTTAATGATGTAAATGTTGGATGAAATGAACAAATCTTGGAACCCTGAGCCCAGCCAGGGTTCTTTGAGCACAGAGGCAGGAGTAAGCCTTTTTGGGGGTGTCCCAAAGTTGTTGTTGTTGTTTTAATGATGTAAATGTTGGATGAAATGAACAAATCTTCACTTGTTCACTCTATGGGACTGGCATTTAGTGTGAAGAAATGAAGTAGATATGATAAATACATATGTATAAAAACTTCATGAATAGTCTAAGCACCCGATTTCCTTAAAAATATGAAACAAGATAGAGAAAATACTTATCATGAAACAGTTTAAGAAAGGGAGCATTTTGCTGCAAAATGCAGTTCACACTGGAGAGATCTTGAGAATGCTCAGTTTCTGAGACCAGCTGAAGGTTCAGAAGAGCCAGCTTGTAGAGCAGCATATTGTCAAATGTCAAATTAAAAAAAAAATCCTGTAGCACAGACTTCTTTTATCCTTGTAATGTGATGTGAGAAACATCTGCTTTCGGCTCCAACCAAGGAGTTAAAGATACAGATTCAGGTCTGACAGTGCTTCTGATTTAGTTCTCGACTGCTAGTCCACCTGTGCAAAGCCCAGTGAATCTTAATCCTGATTATTAACACCAAACCGTTGCCCGACTCTCAGTTTCCCTAGGCCAGCCTGCTCAAACTGAACTGAAATATAAACCTTACATGCAAGCCTTTTCTCGTGCTATTTATCACTGTTTACTTCTGCAGGCGGCATTTATTCTTAGGACATGCAGGCCTTCCCCATCACACATCACAAAGCAGTTAAGGCATGACAATGAACAGAATCAATAGTTAACTAGAGAGTAAAGCAAAACAATCTACTTATGTAAATTATGAATAATTAAGTTAAATTAATCTTAAGTGATTTAATGACTTCCCAGACCTTTTTATTAGGATTGAGCTATGGAAATTTGAAGTTTATAAAATTAATAAGAGTTGCCAGTGCTATTCAGACTTTCAGATGAATGTAATGGATCTAGCAGTTTTTCAAATCGCATTAAGGCCAAGAGTGTGCAAATATATGCTATTTGTTTTCAATATCAGGTAAGAATAATCTAGCATCTCTGTGGGGGACTATCTCAAGTTTTAACTTATAAAACTCCCGTGGACACTGTCTAATGAGGATACGAACAACAACATGCCAACTGACAAAAAGAAGCACAAAATACTGGCTAACCTTCAGTATCTGATTAAACTACCAGTGACTTAAACAATTTTAACATGTTCCTCTATAGTTCTCAACATAAAATTCTTTATTTGTATATTTTTATAATATTTGTATTTATATTGCATGTATATACAAAACCTGGGAATCTTAAACCAGCTTTTTAACCTAAATACTGCCTGACTCTCAGCTTCTCTAGGACACACTGTTCAAAACTTAACTCTTATATATATACAAACCTATCATCTAGGCAAACGTATTGTTGTGAAACAACAACAAAATTTTATCAGAAATAAATTTTCTTTATAATGGAAATTTTCTAAGACTACATGGCTAAAAGTTGTCACGGTTTAAAATGCCTACTCTTAATTAGGGCTGGAGTGTTAGCACAGCAGTAGGGCGTTTGCCTTGCATGTAGCCTGCCTGGCTGAGCCAGGTTCGATTCCTCCGCCCCTCTCCAAGAGCCCAGCAAGCTACCAAGAGTATCTCACTGGCTCGGCAAAGCCTGGCAAGCTCCCTGTGATGTATTTGATATGCCAAACACAGTAACAACAAGTCTCACAACAGAGACATTACTGAGCCCATTTGAACAAATCAATGAACAATGGGAGGACAGTGCCACACAGTGCTACTCTTAATAAGGGAAATACAAGATTAGTTCTATTGCATTTCTCCTTAGCAATGCCATGATCTGTTTCCCTATGACAATAGTACAAATCAGCTCAATAACAGTTTATTCTAAAGCAGAAACACCTCTAATATTTTACCTATTTTTTTAAAAAAATTCAATACAATACTACAGTTTTGTCCTTGCAATGCTCCCCCTAGAATGCCAACCATCCCCCCACCATTACCCCTCACTCCCTTCTCCTCCCTTCCACAGACCCCCTCAGATCACAGCGCCATATCTCAGGAATTTTTTTCCAGTTTCTTGCTTTGTGATGCTACACACAAGAGGGAGATCTTTCTGGAAATATCTTCTCTCTGCCTCACTACATTCATGACCATTTCCTCCAGTTCCATCCAAGTTGCAGCAAGCTGCAAAATTTCCTCTTTTCCCATAGAACTGAGCAGCTGTAATGTTCATAGTTTATAATAAAGATATTACCACTTCGTATAAAGGTTAAGATGTCCGCTTATAATTAAAACAAGAGGACACTTTAGTACTGAAAAGGACTAGAGCCGTTACCTTGTAAATATCCAGAAAGCCACACTGGTGGTCGAAGCGGGTGTAGAGCTCATTGAGCATGCTGATCACCTGCATGGGGGTGCACTGGGCACATATGGCCGTGAAGCCCACGATGTCTGAGAACAGCATGGTGACGTCATCAAACTTTCTGGCCTGGACTTGCTGCCCCTGCCACAGTTGCTGGGCTACGTCGCCGGGGAAAATGGAGTAGAGGAGATCCACCGTTTTCTTCTTCTCTTCTTCCAGGGCTTGGTGGGTTCTTTCTAGAGTGGCCTTGAGCTTGTCCATCCTCTTCTTCAGGCCATCCTGGGCCTTGGCCTGCTCACCCACCAGAATGACGTCTCGAGTGGCGTCGTGGATAGGGATGTCCGAGAGATGCAGCCCTCGCCCCATGAGTTCATCCAACTTGTCCACACACGGAGAGCCCAGGAAGAGGATGCAATCCGATTCTGGGACATGGATCATCTGTCCCTTGACTTCCATCACCTGGAAAATGAACATGGGATTGTGATGAGGGCTTCTCACACAGTAGACTCTAAAGTGAATGTGGAACCTCCCAGGAAGGGGAGGAAGAAAGTATTTACTAGTTATATGACATTCCACATACGTACAGGAAAATGTAAATGATTTGCATCTTGTATGAAACTTAATAGTCTTAAACAGAAACATATTGTCTGCTCTCTGATAATGATGTATGGACAGTGAGAACAATGAAAACTGAAACAGGGAAACATGCTTTATTCAAAATTAAATTAAACTGAGACACACTCTCTACTGGCTCATGAGCCAGTTCATACACTTTCAAACTGATTAATAACGCAGACTAGGATGAGCTCATTGGTCAAATGACTACACTTAACTGCCATTAAAGTGAAACCCAGAAAATAAGTCTAGGAGATTAAAATGTGTCAAAAGTGGTTTGGCCTTCAGATTATGAGACTGACGCGCTGCCTACTGCGCTAAGAGGGCCGCTGGATTAAAGACCTCAACATCAGACCAGAAACCATAAGGTACATTGAAAATAAAGTTGGCAAAACCCTCCATGATATTGAAGCTAATGGTATCTTCAAAGATGCCACGCCACTGGCCAAGCAAGTGAAAACAGAGATAGATAAATGGGACTATCTTAAACTAAGAAGCTTCTGCACCTCCAAAGAAACAGTGACCAAAATACAAAGACAGTCTACAGAATGGGAAAGGATATTCGCCGAATACACATCTGACAAGGGGTTGATATCCAGGATATACAAAATACTGGTTAAACTCCACAAGAAGAAAACATCCAATCCCATCCAAAAATGGGGCAATGAAATGAACAGAAACTTTCTCAAAGAAGAAATCCGAATGGCAAAAAAGCACATGAGAAAATGCTCTACATCAGAGAGATGCAGATCAAAACCACAATGAGATACCATCTCACACCTCAGAGACTGGCCCACATTCAAAAGAACAAAAGCAACCAATGCTGGCATGGATGTGGCGAGAAAGGGACACTCCTTCACTGTTGGTGGGACTGTCCACTGGTTCAGCCCTTCTGGATAACAGTATGGACGATTCTCAAAAAATTAGAAATTGAGCTCCCATTTGACCCAGCAATACCACTCCTGGGAATATATCCCAGAGAAGCAAAAATGTATAGTCGAAGTGACATCTGCACTTGTTTGTTCATTGCAGCACTCTTTACAATAGCCAGAAACTGGAAGAAACCTGAATGCCCAAGAACAGATGACTGGTTAAAGAAACTTTGGTACATCTACACAATGGAGTACTATGTAGCTGTTAGAAAAGATGAAGTCATGAAATTTACATACAAGTGGTACAATATGGAAAGTATCATGCTAAGCGAAATGAGTCAGAAAGAGAGGGATAGACATAGAAAGATTGCATTCATCTGGGGGATATAAAGTAACAAAGTATGAGATTAATACCCAAGAATAGCTGAGATCAGCACCAGGAGGATTACTCCATAACTTAGAGGCCAGCCGGGTATCCTAGAGGAAAGGGCAGTTCAGATAGAGAAGGGAGCACCAAATAAAGGATGTTTGGAGGATCCTCCCAGGAGGGGAGATGCATGTCGAAAGTAGACTATGGACTGAACATGTTTGCCACTCAATGCCTCTTTTGCAGACCACAACACCCAAACGGAGAGAGAGAACACAGGGGATTGTCCTGCCACAGAGGCAGGGGGGGATGGGGGGATGGGGGTGGGAGGGATATTATCCATGGTGGTGAAAAACGGGCACTGGTGGAGGGATGGGTATCTGATCATTGTATAATTGAAACCCAAGCACAAAAAAAATTGTAAATCTACAACTGTAAAAAAATAAATTAATTAAAATAAAAAAAAAAGTGGTTTGGCCTTACATAAGGTCTTTTAAAACCAGCTGTAGTCTTTTGAAAACATAGTTGTCTTTGCACTGACTACTGGTCTTAAGACTTAAAAGTAAATACTAAAAAATGAAGTAAAAAATGACTTGCCAGCATGACTTGGTAGAAAATATTCCTACCAAGTTCAACAGAAGATAAAAGTAAACCCGCAAATCAGCACAACGGTAAACAAATTCTATCAATAAGAGTATGAGGCAGTAATGTATTTGGCGGGGCTCCCAAGTTCCGCTCCGGAGATCCGGGGGGTTCAATGATGATTCTCGGGCAACAGGCCTGAGAAAAGGCTGCGGCTTGCCGCTGCAGTGAGGGAGTACCCAGGACACCCCGCTGGGGCTAGGGATGCCCAGAGATGCACGAGTGGGACTCAGGGGAGCATGCTATCCATGTGTCCTAACTGCTATAGTATCTCCCAGCCCCAGTTTAAACCCTTTCTTTCTAGACACTGCAGAATTTGGGGAACTGTTTAACACTGAGTGTCAGAGTCTATGCTAGCTTAGCTGGTGCCCTGGAAAAACCCTTGGCAGAAGGGAGTGAATGCTAGGAGGAAAGGAGGTGAAGGCCACGGCCACCAGCAGAAAGGCTGGGCTACAGTTCGGGGCTGGGCACCCTGCAGGGGAGGAGGCTGTATGGGTGCCAAGGGCACCGGTCAGGGCCCATCATGTCCACTCTACTCTGCATACGGGGTGCTTCTAAAGAGGAGTGGCAGGCGTGGCACGTGTTTCCTGTTTCTGGGAAACGTAGGTGCAGGAAGGAAGACACGTAATACAAAGTCCCATTTAAAAAAAAATCAGCGTGTTGGATTCTTCTTAAGCTGTTAGGATGAAGTCATGAAATTTACATACAAGTGGTACTACATGGAAAGTATCATGCTAAGTGAAATGAGTCAGAAAGAGAGGGACAGACATAGAAAGATCGCATTCATCTGGGGAACATGAGGAGTCACTGTCCTGTTGTTCATCAATTTGCTCAAGCGGGCCCAGTAACATCTCCATTGTGAGACTTGTTGTTACTGTGTTTGGCATATTGAATACATCACTGGTAGCTTGCCAGGCTTTGCCGTACGGGCGAGATACTCTCAGTAGTTTGCCGGGCTGAGAAAGGCGGAGGAATCGAACTCGGGTTGGCCATGTTGGCTGCATGCAAGGCAAATGCCCTACCCGCTGTGCTATCGCGCCAGCCCCTGGGGAACATAAAGTAACAAAATAGGAGACTAACACCCAAGAATAGCTGTGATAAGTATCAGGAGGTTTACCCCATGACTTGGAGGCCAGACGCACACGCTAGGGGAAAAGGCAGCTCAGATAGAGAAGGGAGCACCAAATAAAGGGTGTTGGGAGGATCCTCCCAGGATGGGAGATGCTTGCTGAGAGTAGACTCTAGACCGAACATGATTGCCACTCAATGCCTCTTTTGTGAACCATGGTACCCAAAAGGAGAGACAGAACAAGGGGGAATGCCCTGCCACAAAGACAGGGTGGGATGGAGGGGATGGGGGAGGGAGGGATACAGGGATCAGTGGTGGTGGAGAATGGGCACTGGTGGAGGAATGGGTACTCAATCATTGTATAACTGAAACCAAAACACAAAAATTTGTTAAGTCTACAACTGTACCTCATGGTGTATCACTAATAAAAATTTTAAAAAATTAAAAAAAAAAGATTTAAAAGTTACAGGCACTATGCCCGTGCTCACAGGCCCAGACTGGTCTTCCCTGTCTCTACCCTCCCATTTCCTTCTTTGCCACGGTGCTGGCTTCTCCCTTGCACCCTTGGTTATGTGGGTCGAACTGTCCTGAACCTTCTCTCACTGGCCTCTTCTGGCCTGTCTCCCTCAAGCCTTCCACTTCACCCTCAATTCTCTTTGTGGCTCTTCCTTTATCTCCCTTCTCTTCCTAGGAGTCAAGTCCCACATTTCCCATCATTAATGGACTCTCTTTTTTTTATTATTTGAAATATAATACTTTATTCAAACCAAAAGTATAATTTCAAAGCAGTAAACAATTGTTTCCCAAAGTGGGTTATATCACACCCCCAACTCCCCAGGGAAGGGTAGGGGTGGGGGCAATAATAACCTTGGTGCAACTAGGCGGCATTCTCTGTTAACTTTTTTTTTGACTTTGTCTCCACTTCTCTATTTATGGAGTTACCATGTGTGTGTATGTAAAGTAATATACTATTTGCTGTAATAAATGCTCTTAGCATACAAGAAGGTCAAACTGATTATTATATTCCTATCTGAAAGTGAAAGATAACGAAACACAAATGTTTTCCGATTTCTGTGTGGCAATTGTTAATTTTTATTTTTTTGAATCTCTGAATCAGCAGTGCCGAAGTGGGAAAAAATAATTGGTTACCTCCTACACCACAGAAAAAGTGATAAAAGAAGCTCCAATATAAATAGTAGATAGCTTCCTTTCATGCATTTTTCACCAGTGAATTTTTTGTATTTATTAGGTGGATAAATTCAATTTGAAAATTCTGCCATAATTTTAAGAAAATAGCAAATTACTATCTTGAATTGTCTTTGTTTCATCATAATTATTAATTCAGAAATTCACCCTGGTCCTCATTTATTAATTCAACCATGTGAAAAATATATGATAGGAATGCAAATTTTTATGTGGAGGAAAAGATTTTGTAAACAGTTACATAAAATATAAAGAAATTTTTTATTAACTCCTACATTTATTTTAATTAAACAACATAAAACATAAAAATAAGCTACCTATAAATCAGAATTCAAAAATGGTAGGCCTAATGAAGGGCACTATTTTAATCTGCACAGAAGGGTTAGAAATTCATGCTCTCTCAGAGTCTGTAGTCAGATGTTGTTAAACAACCTGTGTTATTTCTATTTTTATATATTTGTATCTCTGTTAAAATATTTGAATCAGAATATCTTTTTTATTTGTTTTTCATATACATATGCCTCTTGGAGAACTTGGCAAGCTACTGAGAGTATCCCTCCCGCATGGCAGAGCCTGGCAAGTTACCCGTGGCATATTCGATATGCCGAAAACAGTAACAATAACGGGTCTCATTCCTCTGACCCTGAAAGAGCCTCCAATATGGCAGCGTTGGGAAAGATGAGTAAGGAGA